TCAGATATGTTGTTTCTGTAAAGCTGCTTGTCAGGAAGTGTCTTCCTGGAATACTGATGGCAGAAAAAAACCCAAAGCCAAAGGAAAGCAAAAACCTCAGAAAGGAGAGATCTGTTGGTACTGATCCAGGTGAAGGTACCCCCGGAGTTCTGACAGTTTTGGCAGCCCTTGCCCAACAAGTATAGCTGTCTTTAAATTTGGGCTGAGGGCCATATCTGGACTATACTGGTCCTAGTCTCGCAGGCAGAACAGCCCTCCCTCTTAGAGAGCTGAGGGATGGAGTTTGGCCAGGCTCACAGAGCACAAATTCCAGCAACCCCACCTCCCCTCTCCTTCAACTGTATGTTGCACAATAAATCAAGCTGGATGAAAAAAGGCATTCAGGCTCATGAAGCGCTTTCCAGTTATGCAGCATCCCCATTGCACTTCTTCTGGTCTAACCCTGGATAAATAGTTCTTTATCATCATTTAATAATCAGACTCACATTCACATGAACCTGAATTTATAAAAAAACCCCAACAGATCGGTATAATCCATGCCAGGCAGATAGGTAGTGATCCCTTGGTTTATAAATAATTATCCAACATGAAACTATTGGTATTTCTAAATCTTAACATGTTACCAGGATGTTACCCAGACATGGCTATCCAACAGAGGCAAGGATGTTAATCGTTACGGGTCCTTGGGCTCTTCCCTGAATGATGGAGACAAAGAAGCCCATCAAGGGACAATTCAGACCTTACTGCTCGGCGGCAGCAGCAGCAGCGGAAGGCAGGTAAGTTTGTGTCCAGGCTCCTTATCTAAGCATCTCAGTGAAAGATCCACAGTTAGGTGGGGACAGCTCAGGTCCCGGTCAGCTGGTGCTGTGGAGAGAATCAGCAAAGTCTCTTTTGTTGGCCACTTGTCCTGGCTTTGGCTTTTCGGTGCTGGTCCTCCTTTGGGTTTCCCTGTCATAACTCTCCCTGAGCCCCCTCTCGCAGGTTATATCGAAGGAACAGAGCTGGCACCTGCCCTGCCAAGGGCTCCCCAGCTGCACAAATGCACCTTTCACTAGAGCCTCGTGTACATTCATGCCATTTCCATATGTGCTTCTGGCCAGTGCATGGGATTAGAAGAGTGTTTTTTAACTGCCCTAGAGACTGCACACACATGGGCCATACAGATGAGGAATATATGCAACGACCCATACATTTGTTGGGGGCTGCTTACAGAAAGCTGGCTGTTTTCTTTATGCTTTGGGTCTTGAAAGTGCTCAGGGAGACTCTTCGTTGCGTAATTCAAATACAGATTCACTTTTTACCAAACATGGAAAACTTCAGCTCTTGTCCATGTAAATAATGGATGTCACCCACCTCTATGCAGTTCTGCTCCGGCACGGGATATGGGGCTTTTCCCAGTGCTTTTCCCTCCAGCCCTGAATGGTTAAGGCATTTCCCTGCCAGCCTGTGCGGGACTGCCCTGGGATGTCACTCGGCAGCTGGCACACGCAAAGGACCATTTGGGGTTGAGGTATGTGGTGGTAGGTGACTCACCGTAGCGCCGGCACTGGCACACCGGAGCCGGTGTGAGGAGGAAGAGCCATCCCCTGTGCGGCGCCCACACAGCCTGCTCCCCAGGGAGCCGCTGCCTGCACCTGCCTGCATCCGCCTGCCTGATCCGTCCGGACTAACCGTTGCACCTGGATTTCGACTGTGAGAGTCCACAGCAACCAAGATCCCGCAACAGCAAGCCTGCGTCAGGTGCGTTACCCACCGCGTGAGACGGCAAACAGACAGGAGCAGCTATTGCTATTGACACAGAACAAGCAGCCAGAGCGGACTGATGGAGTGAGAGGAGGTCACAGATAGGCAGGAAGGAAGATAGATCTTTGAAGGAATCTATTTGCTCCTGGGAGGACTAGATACTTACAGTCACGGGCTCCTGAGCTGCGCTGGAGGCTGTGGAGGTTTGGTCCCACACGTGTCCTTGCTGGGTCCTTTGTGGCCCACGCCACGGCCCGCCTCCTCGTGCCCCCTTGGCTCATGGGGGGATTGAACCTGACAGACACGGTGTGCTAAGGAGCCTGAAACCCACTTGGGAGCTGCAGCCGGTCACTTGATGCCGTAATCCTTCCTCATTACAAAAGAGACTCTGTTGTCTTTTGCCCTGTTCCCTTCTAATCTTCTGAGTAAGCCCTGCGTGTTTATAGAGGCGGCCGGGGGAGGGGGAGGCGGGGCTGGCTGCTCCGCAGCTGCTACTGCTAACTCCTGGCACAGCCATGGCGGCTGCCAGAAGAGAGGCATTTTTCCTCTAATTCTTTCCTGTTTGGTTCCTTTCTCTGTGTCACAATCTTACAGGAGCCCCAGGAGATTAAGTAGGGCTGGAATTTTCCACAAAGGCTATAAAATGTGTCACCCTTGGGGCCGTGCAGCCCTCTCTTCCCTGGGGAAGCTCCTAGCTCCTTAGGTTGGTGAAACACTTGGCCCATGCCCTGCCTGGCTCTCAGGGGATGTTTCTTTCTAACTCCATGCTGTCTCTGCTGTCCTTGGGTGAGTTTGCCAGCTCTTCCAGCTGTGGTTTGGATGCTGAGGACTCCCACTCTGCCACTGGCTCCCCGAGACTCTTTCCATGTGTTCACTTTCTTTTCTGCTTGCTTAATCCAGCAGCACTTGGGGGCTGTCGCTGCTCTTTCTTGCATGGCCACCCTGGGAAACGCAGCTCCGTACCTTTGTCCTCAAGCCTCTGCCAAGCCAGGGATCTCCTTCCCTCTGTCTCTCCAGGGTCTTCAGTCCCTTTTCTGCTCCCAAGCTGTCCCTCACAATTGTGACCATCCTTCTCTTCCACCATCTCCTGCGATCTCTCCTGTCCTGTTACATGGAGGACAATCAGGGGATCAGGCCCAGCCAACAGGGATTCATGAAAGGCAGGTCTTGCCTAACCAACCTGATTTCCTTCTACGACCAGGTGACCCGCCTGGTAGATGAGGGAAAGGCTGTGGATGTTGTATACCTGGACT